TTTACTTTTTGAGGAAAAATAGTGTGAGGGGAATGTTTTCATGGACAAGTTTTTTTTTAATCAATCTCTTTTTGTGTGAAATAAATCACCAATACTGAAACATTTTAGTGAAATTACTAGCCGATTTTAAGTTTATTGCAAACACTGAGACAAATCCGTTCTTGTTTTAAACCTGTAACAATTCATTTTTATGGCGCCGTAAATTTCTAATTGGAAATCAGCGTTCAATGTAGGATGAAAGTAAATGGCGTATTATTTGGCCCAAAATTGAATAGAAAAGTTTCCTCCATCCGTCGTCGGTTTCATTGAAAACGCGCGTTTAAATTTGGAAATAGTGTTTGAAGCGAGCCGATTTGCATGATCGCGCGATTATGGGCGATAGGGGCGCCTCCAGCCATTGTTGTCACAATCAGATTTAACCGGTCCTAGTCGGATGTGGAATTCATAAAACGGTTGTTATTTCTCCGATTCTCATTCATAGGCCATAAAGTAGCAGGATTAGTTGTAGCAGTGGCCATTGGAGGCGGTAATTGATGTGAACTCTACAGTATTAGAAGGCATTGTGGTGGCGCGAGACAAAAGCCTCTCCGGGAAACTTGTAGCCAACCTACCGCAAACTTGCCCCGAGCTCTCCGTACAACCCCCAACTCTATTAATGTCCCACCAAACTCGACTCAACTTTATTGAAAATTACTGCCAACTGACACACTCCAACTCGTTCTTTCCCGGCACCACGGAAAAATTTACCCGGATAAATTATATGCAAATAGACCTTATCGAGAGTAACAGAGCATTGTAATTTTTTTAAATCATCACCTGCGCAATACTAATAACGTTATTCCCGTTTACGAGCAAATTAAGAGACCTCCGAGCTTTCCAATATTTTTTGGGATAATATGAAGGCTTGGAATAATAAAAAAAACTCCTTTAAGCGCAATCGAATTTTAAACTTCAGATTAGATTGCATTTAGCTTCCAATCTACTGCACATTATTTTTATGTTAAAAAAAACAAAAATATTTATCTCTCTTTTGGTATTATATTATTAAACTAAATTAGCTCCATAATAATTGCGATTTAAAATCCAAATTTAAAAAATATTTGTTTTTTACTAAAAGTGTAGCTTTTGTGGTTTGAAATCGATTTATATTCATGTAAACCAATTCTTTCAATAAATTGTAAATCGAGTTAGTTTAAATCCCGCAGTTTTAACTCATAAGTGCATTCAGACATCAGCATTTCCGGAAACCGGAAGCTTCTAAGACTTCTCTTTTAAGCTAACACCTACTGTAATTACTAAGGCTCGGATTATATGCACGAAAAAATCGTAAAATATGCGCATATATATTTTCACAAAATTACGCACAAAATATTAAGAAATATGCTCGAATATATGCCAAATATGCATCGATATGCAAAATTTTGAACAATTAAAAGTCAAATGTATTTATTTTTGGAAAAAACTAATTGATGAATTATAAAGTTCTATAAAAATGTGATGTTTTATTAAAAATAAAATTTTTCGAAATGTTTGTTATTTTGTTTTTGAGTTTTACAAAAATATTATTTTTTTTTAAATGGCAACCCACCACAAAAAACTTTTTTTATGAAGGTTATGATCTAAGGAATTACAACTATCTACTTTGCATTAAATTATTTTTTTACATATATGGCAATTTAGACAACAAAAATCGAATACCTCAAAAACAAAACAAAATTTTGTTCTTAAAATAAAATCATTTTTTATATTACTTTAATTTGTATTAATTATTATTTTTTGGAAACAAATGATTAAAAAAAAACCTGTTGGTTCAATACAATTTAAAAAAGGAAACATTCAGCAGGGTACTAATTTTTTGAGTTTGGCTTACGAATTACCGGTTGTTTTCTCTTTAAAATATTTTGTAATCGCTTCATTTTTTTTAAACTGTCGAATTTTTAACTTGAATTGAAATTTTTAATCGGAAATTAGTGTTTTGAAGAAAATATGCACAAATATGCAATATTTCCTAAAATATGCACCAAGTTGCCAAAATATGCATTTTTTTATTTGGCTTATTTTAATTAAAAAACATTAGATATGCATAGAAAACTTACAATTTTGTTGATATACCTCTTAATAACAAATATGCATTTTGCACATAATCCGAGCCTTAGTAATTACCCATAAACAGGGTTGGGCATTTACGGGTAAAGTATTATTTTTTACATTTACACGTAAAGAATATGTAAACAATGTAAAGAACTATTATTTTGAAGTTAAGTAAGATAATTTGACAGTTTTTTAAGCATTCTAGTGTAGAATGTAGTATGAATTATCTCACTGTGCTTATAGAAAAAAAATTGAAAGAAGTAAAGTCGAAAATGACTTATCCAATCATTTTAAGCAGTTAGACTTTTTAAAAATTCCGCTGATAGACGTTTAAAATCTCACGGTTTGCTTATTCAAAATTTCACCTTTCAAATTATGTCCGAATCAATTGCTTAACTTAAAACAAGTAGTGAGAGTGAGAAGAAAACTAGGAGTTCTTTTAAAAAAGCAAAAATCTTACCAAGAAGAACATAGAAAAACACCAAGTTGAAAATAAAATCATACAATTTCTATTGTTTACGTTCTTTACAGATTTTATTGATAAGTAAACAATGATGTTGTTTACATGTAAACAACCCTGTATTTTACATCGTGTAGTTTACGCGCCCAACCCTGCTTATAAATTATGTGAGGCCAAAGTTTGCAATTTTAGCCTTATTTTTACAAGGCGAATTGAGGAAAAGTTCGAAATTTTCCATTATAATGTATTAAGGTTTAATAAAAGAAACAAAATTAATCAAAAGTGTCATTTTAAATCTTGTCATAAGTTTTTGACTAAGCTCGCTGATTCAAAGCTGGTAAAAGCTCGTTTGATTTTTAAGTGATACCCGAAACTGTATTCATAACTTCAAAGGAATTTCTATAAACAGGCAAAGTTCGTATCTTGAATAACAAACTTGGCACATCGAACAGTCGACACAGTACCTTAATTAGGTTGAGGCTAGATAATGAATAGCATGTAGAGAGAGGCGGCTCACTTTTCAGCTAGAGCAAACTTGCATGTAATCAACAATTTCCGAAATATTAATTATGCCATTCGGCTGTCGAAAAGCCCGAACATAAATTGTTTCTTGGTGGAAAAAAGCGATTGTGGCGGAACACATGAAGGCGGTTGTTAATGAGGAGCAGTAATGAGAAGGAAAGGGGAATTGCAGGTCCGGTGATTGCAGCAACTGTAATTATAGGCCTGATGAGATCGAGGACGCTGTGATTATGGCCGCGGGAAGAAAATTTGAAACGAGGTTTACCTGGAAAATTATTTCAAGTGGAAAACACTACTATGAGAACGAAACTGTACGTTGGGAGCTTGTATTACATTGAACACGATAACAAACAGAATTAAATTAAGCTGCAGAAACTTATAATTTTCTAAATGGCGGTAGATAAAATCTTGAATAACATAACGTAGGTATATGATTCACATCCGTACAATTACGAATTTAACGCGAATGAAAAGGTAAATCATAAGCTTTTAAATATTGAATTTAGAATTTAAGTTATTCAATAAATTAGAAACAAAATCTTGTTCAAAACAAAAAAGAAAATATGAAATAAAGCTGAAATGCAAAAGAACTAATGGAAAATTTATTTCAGTTTTGCATTTTGAATGTAAATGGTGTAGTAGAAGAAGTCAGAGGAGTTAATAGTCGTAAAATGCTGCAACAAGACAATGCATGTTTTCTATAAATAAGCAGAAATTTTAATTCTATTTTCATAAATGTGATGGCTTTCTGTTTGTATGTTTGTTTAAATGAAATCAATTTAGAGTTCGGATTTTATGCAAAGTGCATATTTATTATTTGTAGGAATATTTTTTTTTAATTTAGAATGTCCACAAAACACATCAAAACAATGCAAATTAACCAATTAAAAAATGCATATTTTGCATGCTTCTAAGTTTTTGGGATTTGTTACATAATTTCGATATTTAACGCATAAAGTAGCATATTTTAAGTGATCAGAACGGGCATTTGATAATTTTGCCATCATATTATAAATTCTGAGAAAGTAACTGGAGGCATATTTAATAAAAAACTGCATATTTTTCTCTTAAACCCTGCATTAATATGAGCGAAATCATAAAAATTAATTTCAAGGATGTTTTAGTATTCGTGTAACGATTTTTTTGTGGTGTTTCCTTAATAACTTATGCTTGTTGTCAGAGTTTAAACTTAAAGAACACAAAAATAAAGAAAGTAAATTTTATTCTTTACACAAGTTTTATGGTTTTTGCTCGATTAAGGACCCCTCAGACATTTTATCACAGTTTGAAGGATCAATCGATAAACAAAAGCCATAAAAGATTTGTTGTTGCACGATGTTCCAGCTTTATTGCATTTGCCTGTTTCCTACCAGGTTTAACAACACAAGACAAAAATAAAAAGTTTGTTCAGCACATTTATAATGCAAGAAGATATAAGAGATCTAACCGAAGGGTGTTTTCTATCCACTCTTCTGGAGTTTTCGGCAAAAAATAAACTCAAATTTTTATACCTTCCATTCTTGTATAAAAATACAAACGAAGGATGATGTAAATAATTGTAATCAAATCTTGATTTTTGACTGATTGTATAAATTTTAGATGAGGAGAGATTTTGGTTAAGTTGAGTTGGAAAAAGGTTGCGATTATGTTCAGCGTGAGAAATCTTGATGGATGTTTACCTGTTCACGATTGTATCCGGGCATTACTATTTCATCACTCGAGCGTCATTGGCTAGAGTCGTAAAGGAGCAAAAACAGCTTTTTTCATGTCGTGTTTGCATTTAAATGTACATTTCGCCCAAATGTTGAGTAATAATTTATTAGTCGACGGCACGTTCGATTTAACAGTGGATGGCTCTTGTGCATGCTTGATGTCCCGTTTACACGGGTCGAAAACGAGTGTTTTGATTTGTCTTTTTGTGTTGCAGATTCGCCGTGGATGGGGTAAGTTTAATTAAAACCGGCGGGACGTAATTGATCGGCGGCAGTCTTGGAGAAAAATTCGGCAAATATAGTGGATTTATTGGGGCCAGGAACGCCTTCGGAGTGGGTAGTTTCTCTTCGCATCCACTTACATCGTTTTGCTCATTTCTAGTCATCTTTCACTGTCATGCATTCGCTCCCTGTATTTATCTCCGTCTCGATATTGATTAGTGTATAATTTATATAGCTAAAAGCTGAATATATTATTACCCAGAGGCTAACATAGACATGTGTATTAGTAATAATCGCTCATCGCTATATATCTAGATTGAAGCATTAGCTAATGACAGGGGGCAAAGAGCAACGCGAATAAATCAACGCCTATTGTCTCCCTCCCGAATAGAACTTTTCTTGGTCTCGCCTTCAGGAAGCATCACTTGTAGCTGCTGCAAAGCCACTTTGTCAATGTGACGTCAAAAACAACGAGGGCGACACAATGCTGCTTCTATATACCTACTCACGAATCAAGTCAAGAGGACTTTTAAGTTACCAACGGAAAAATCGAAACTTGGAACAAATTAAGACACTTGTCGACATCATATTTAGTGACCTCTTGCGTAAGCGAAAGCAATTGTTTCGAGATTACTTCATTTCCGCTGCCGAGTCAACGTCTATTTATCCTCCAACCCCCGTTTCTCTTGCGTAAATTTCCCTCTGCTACTTTACAGCGTTCGCAAAATCTTTACTTTAATAGCGTTTTTAACAATCAGATCCAACAAGTTCATTCCAATAAACCACAAAGTCAATTTTAATAAACTTGAAACAAACTACTGATCTAAAATTTTGTTCGTAGCCTAATCGGTTAGGTTCTGCACAATGAAAATATTTTTAAATAAAAAGTTATGTGTTTTATTTCATTTTTGGATTACTCAAGTAATTTTGAGAGAGTTTTCATTAGCATTCCCTAAGTTTAACCGTTTTCGAAGTGTTTAGACCTTTTTCATTTTTTTTGGATTTTAATCTTCTTATTCAAAAATCGATAACTCTACCATTTTTTATTATGTTGAAACCACATTTGGGTATACGAGAGAGAAAAGTAAGATCGTTCCTTTCGTTTATTCATAATTGGAAAAATAATTAACAAACTGCCAAAATGTAAGGTTACGTTTAGGAAACTTCAAATACCCTTAACTCAATTTTTCTAAATGAAACACCCCAATTTTTTCTTCACTAAATGGAGAAAAATTTAGTTCTGCTTCGATCTGTATTAACATTTCCTATACCTATGTTTGATGGTTTTCAAGTTATAGTAACTTCTTTTGATATTGTGAGAAATTCATTAGCCATAGCTACTTTAACAAAGGTTGTCATAGAAATAAGCAAAAAAAAATAGAATATCAAAGTCATTCAAATTTAGATTAAATAAATTTAATTTGTATTTACAAAAAGAGTAACACAATTGTGAAAAAAAAACTTTTTTTTCACTTAAAATTACACGAGAGCTTTTCGAAGTAAACCTGTTTTTTGAGTTAAATTGCCTAAAGGAAACAAAACTCGAATTAAAAATGTCAAGCTTTCTTCATAAAAAAAGCTTGAGTGTAATTCGGTAAGACAATTTCATGAATACGTAAATCACTAAATTAACAAATAAGGTGTAAATTAGTTTATTTAATTTAATGCAAAGTACAATTATTAAAAACACAATTCAGACGCTTTCAAAAGTTAGGTTCTGTTTTGTCGCTGTAATACTTAGGGCAAACTTTTGTCGCTGGCATAGTGACAAAAACACCGCGGCTTAGTGGATTTTTAGTGTATGAAAAAAACTGTCAGTGAAAAATATTTCCATGACAAACTATGCGAAAACTACCTTGGAGTAATGAATTACTTCCATTGTAAAAAAAAGTCAAATTAACTTGTAAATCATTAAATTTAGGAATGGTGATACAGATTAATTCAGAATTAAATTCTCTTTCATTTACTGAAGAAAAAACTGATACAATTCAAAGTTTCCCAAACGTAACCTTAAATTTTGGAGATTTGTTAATTATTTTTCCAATTATAAATACACGAAAGAAAAAATCTAACCTTTTTTTTTCATATGCCGCAATACGATTGCAAAATAATTAAAAATGGTAGAGTTATCAATTTTTGGAGAGGAAGATGCAAATCTAAAAAATTTCAAAAAAGTCTAAATATTTCAAAAACGGTTAAATTTAAGTATAAAAAAAGTCTGATAAAAACTCTCTGAAGATCGGTTGAGCAGTGTGTATAAAAAAATAAAAAATAGCATTGTTAAATTAAAGAATTATTACAAAATTCAACTTCTATCCCGGCGCATCCACCAGTTTTTATATTTAATTATGACAATCTCGAACGCAAATTAACAGTCAAGACTGTATAAAGTACTTGTATACGAAACCACATGGAAACATTTGCAAAACATTGGGCGCCTTGGGAAAAGCAGTTAATTCAATTACCAATATTTCGGCAACCTCAGGATGTATTTATTTAAATTGCCGTCACTTAAAAGGAATAATAAATCGTGCCTTATGCATATTTCATACGACGGCTTAAACATACATAATTATAGTTTACAAAAACATCAACAATTAGTGGTTCCAAGTGGCAGATCCAGAAAAGAAAATACGGAGCTGTCATTTGTTATGAAAGCAAAGAATTAAATTAAGTGGAAGTGTTACGTATGTGTTATAGGATAAATTTTTACGGTCGTCATTTATCTCAGTCAAAAGCCCGACTTTTTAAATAATTTGTTACAACTGACTTGCATTACATTTGACCTCGCTCTCTTTTACAATCCCGTCAGTGGCAACATTTTTCAACGGAACGACGGCACGACGCAATCAAATTTTTAACAATTGGATGGTTGGAATTATTGAACGAGAACACAAAAAAGGGGTGCTATTTGTATTTACTGTTTTAAAATCTTGAGTTCAAGGTAAATTCAAGTGTTGGCAATCAGACTTCCCTCAACGAAATGTTTATCAGGATTACTAACTTTAAGAAAATAAATCCTCTTTTAAAATAAAATTATCATTGCAGGTTTATAATCAAAATTTAAAAGTGAAGGTAACAAACGCCTAATTATCTCCTTTGTAATTACAATGTGCAAGTAGGCAAAAGTTTTTTAATTAAATTTTGACAGCGTTTAGGTTTATGTGTTTATTATCGCGCGGTGTTTGAAATTGTTATAAGAGTCGGGATTAAACTCCATCTTTCTCTTTTATTTATGGAAGAAATATGCACGCTTTCTTCTCCACGTTTGAGGGAATAAATTCAGGGATGTCGTCGCGGTTTTCAGAAAAAGACTTGTACGTTAAGCCGATTTCCAGTTGTAAATTCAAGTCAAGCGGCTTAACGTTATCAATCACATGGCTTTTATAATCCGTGGACGCGTTTCAACAAAAGTAAACATTCGGATAATTCGGCTTGTTTTTGCCTTCTTCTTCGTTTTAATTGTTGAAAGGACACTCAACCATGTCAAAAGCTTACTTTTTTACTTTAATTGTACAATGTTCATTACGCGATTTGAGACTGTTTTTCTTGCATAATAAAATTAGTTTACTAGAAATAGTACAAAAGCTTAAACAATAACGTTAACTGTTTTAATAATGCAAGAGTATCGAAGTGGAAATTCATTGCTTACTCACTCGCTCTCAAGACGTGTCTGTAAACACAAAACATTTTTTACACGCTATTTGCAGAAAAATCTATTTAATGCAACAATAGCGGCCAAATTAATTAATAACAAAATAATATAGATAATGAATAAATATCCAATGGCAGCAATTCAATTATCAAACATAAAGCCAATAATATGCTCTAGTTAACCAAAATAAACAAAAATTGATAAATATGGTAGAGTATGGATTTTCGGATTCACATAAAAATCTCAAATTCCATTTGAATGCACTTTTACTTTTGCTTTCGTACCTGGTTTGCCGTGTTTGCTGAAAAATTCAATGCTTATTGAGCGGCGACTTTAAAGTGGAAGAATCTGCACAGCGTGCATTGTTTGTCGTGGAAATCGCAGGTATGCGGTTTAATCAACGTTTGATTATTTTCATAATCGTATATAAGCATACCATCAAACATTCGAACTACTAATAACTCGTCCGATTTCGGTTTAATTATGCACAATGATTGCATGCGCATATTATGAACTTTTCGTATTTTCATTGCCGCGCAATTATGCTCACATTGCATATTTTAAAGAACGCAAATTGAATATGAATGTAAAAAAGTCACTACAATAAAACTTAATTAACAGACATCGTATACAACAAGAATTATTTATGATGCACCGCGTATTTGTAGAAAATGTAAAAGAAAATTTACTTTGCTTTACTTGTAGGAAACTAATTTAATTAGTTTTTGTTTGTGAAATTAGCATTGTACGAACTGCGGAAAGTACTTTAAGTAAACAAGAGAAGTTTTCAGGTTTCTTTAGAAATTTTCGAACATATTAAAAGTTAGTTGTATTTTTGTGGATTTGGTTATGTTTTTGCTACTTCAAGCATATAAAATTCTATGCGAAAGTAGATTCAGCCATCTTTATTTGCTCGTCAGAAATTGAAATGTAAATTAGATTCAGACAAAGTTAAAGTTTGCGTGCGTGAGTCTCACCATTTTGTTAATTATTTAACAGTTCAATTACTAACGTTTGTTTTAATCAGTTAACTGCTGACAGAAACAATTAATTTTTTTAAATATGCTTTTTACTCTTCTTCAAGGCACGAAACTCAATCTCCAACTTTATAATGACCTCTATTCATTTGACACTAGTAAATTTAAATGTACAAACCTGAATTACTTATAATTAAACAACAATTACCTGCTTTGAATGGCGCGAATTATCTGGTGTAAAGCTTAAAAGTTAACCAAAATTTGGTTGGAAGTAAATGCGTTATAATTCGATATCGAATCAAGACAATGAAAAGTTAATGAAGTCTCTACTGTTTTTTAATTCGTTTAACAGGAGAAGGAAACTTGTTAATGAATAC